CTCTCGCATCAGGAGTCCCATAGAACCTCCTGCTGCCAATAAATGCAACAAAAATACCAATTGCACTATTAGATGCAACCTGTGATCTTTAGTCAATTGGAACAAAATGGCAGGAGAGAACTCATGACGTTTGGTCAAGATGTAAGTCCCCAGACCATCATCACATCTCTACCCTTAAGTAGAAATCAGTAACCCCTGTCCCATTTTGACTTTCTCCTTTATTCCATTTCAACTTGGATTCTGTCTCCTGTAGCCTCTGTGCCTCTGGTTCCTTTTAGGAAGACAAAGAGGCAAATGGAAGCCCACCTATGAATAACAGACATCCATCTTGGACTCAGCAATTACAACATTGAGAAACTAGACAATGAACAGAGAATAAGAGTAAACATCAATCCCCCAGTGGAACCTGTGTTTTCATATCTCAGGTAAGAGACAGAAGGGTGATGGCCCAATGCTGGTGTAGTGCCGGTGAAAAAAACAGAGACAGCCACGATTAAGAATAGGGATTCCAAATAAAGTTAATTATCATTATTTAAGATTTAAGTAAATTTTTGTAAAACTAGGCATGTAAATTTTATACAGATTCTAAATTAACTGACATATTGCTCTTCTTAAATTTACATAGACTGTCTTGGTTCTGATTTAATTCAAAGGGGCATTCAACAATATTTTAATCACAAACTCTTTTGTTTTATTACAGTAAAAACATTGAGCATGAGATGTATCCTTTTAGTAAACATTTAAATACACAGTACTGAATTGCTAACTCTAGGCACAATGTTGTACAGTAGATCTTTAGAACATATTCATCTAGAATAACTGGAACTCTATACCTGTTGAGCAGCCATTACCCTTTTCTCCTTTCCCCTAGACCTTGGCAACTACCATTCTACTTTCTGTTTCTATGATTTTGACTTTTTAAATATTTTTTATAAGTGGGACTTGTCCTTCCGTAACTGCCTTATTTCACTTAGCAGAATGTTTTCCAGGTTCATCTGTGTCACTGCAAATGGCAGAATTTCTTTTTTTTTTTTCTTAAAACTGCATAAATGTATTTTATTGTATGTAAAAACCTACAAAATCTTAATCAACAATTTTTTTCAGAAATGATTGCATTAGGTGGAAGCCAGACAAAGTTACAATACCTAAAACAGTTTTGAGAATTTGGTGAGTGCCGGCAAGTAATCATAGTTGAAAGATATAAAGACACAGAAACCCTACCCTTTGGGGGACACAAAATCAGAGACATAAATGCCAGCACAAGCTCATAGAGGTAGACTCAGGAAAAGAACGCATGAGTAACTGCTTTACACAAAGAGGAAGTTTTATCTATATTATAAACTTTTTCGGAAGGCAACATAGTACCGTGGGAATTATATTCATCTGAAAGACAGATGACCTCTCTTCTGTTGTTAACATATCCAATCAGTTGATTTCTGGTCTCTAGATCTTCACAGTATTCTTTGAAGCTCAATTTCTTCATCTGTCAAATAAACTATTGAGCTAGTTCTTTAAGATCCCCTATAGATATAATATTTATGACTTTGGCTTTCTAGAGACCCTCTTGGGTAAGAGACAAAGACTAATGCAACATACTTTTCCCAGTTGTGAAGGGAAATGACCTTTATTCTATTAAATCCTTCCTGAAACTAGTGGAGTACACCAGGCAGTATCAAAGTAATATTTTCAAAACTGTCTGCCTCTTTTTGATTATAAATTATAACTAGAGGACTAATATTTATATAACACTTAACCACAGAAAAAAATATTTTCTCATTTTGGAGAAACCTTGAAAGTTAGGTTAGCTGATATCAAAATGAACCCCATTACAAAAATGGAGAAATCGACTCAAACATATCAAAGTCCTGGAGCTAATATATCAAATTGGAACTTGAGTTATAACAAAATTGTAACAGAATCTTTTTTTAAAAAATAGCTTCATGTGAAAGAAGGGTGACAGAATACTTCTTTCCCTTTCTCACTAACACACTCATACAGACACACACCATACCACACTCACCATTCCTACACCAATGAGACGACATATGGTCTAGTGCTATTTCCACCAGCTGTGTGAACTTGACAGGAGTTCGTAAACTCTTTGATTCTAAGATGTCTCATTTTTATATTGGAGATATTAAAAGT